TTAATTTAACCAGGGCAGGGTTCTCCGTCCGGATGCCTGTGTAATTTATAAAACTCTTCCATCCATTGTTCGCTCAGCCTTTCAACAATAACCAAGGCGACAATTTCTTCTGATTCGGTAGAAACACGTTATTACGGTAGTTGGAACAGTTTTTTCTCATCGTCATTAAACATAAGCCCGACGTGATCCAATTATATCACTTCCTCAAATTTATATGTAGCTAGATGTTTAAAATGTATTTCTCTGTTGGTAGAAGTGAACTACTACCTTTCGGTTCGAAAGGATGAGTCTATAGGAGTTGCTACTCAGTAACCCTTTCTTCATGGTGCAAAGAATCAGTCTCACTAGTTCAGTCCAGTTGCCTAGATTATATTTTTAAATGATAAGCAGTTGATGAAACTCCTGTGTCACGTTGTCTTCAGATTGACAGTGAACAGTTGCTTACCATTTCAAGTCAGAACGTTTGAATATTAAATGCTTTTTTAACCTTATCACTTCCAAAGCTAGTTACAGGACAATATTCAAAATCAAAGATCCGTCTTTAGCAATACAGGAACATGTTTATGAAAAATGTTTATTCGTGGCGTCGTTGCTATACCATATTTTTAGATACTGACGCGAAAGCTTGTTTGGAATGCCCAGTCGAAAGTTGGGTCATTTGACAACATTGGATATAAGCCAGGAGGAGGTAACGTTTGCATTGAATCGAGGAAAATTGCATGGAAATCAGAGCCAAAGGTAGGGTCAATGCAGAATGTCGCATACAAGCCACCGCCGGGAAAAGCAGAGGTAAGAAATCTGACAAATGATTATCATAAAGGCAAAGGCACCAAGGTCAAACTAAGGTCAACAGTCAAATATTGCACTGTCTATGTTCACCTCTAAAAATTCCCTCAGTTTAGATGCAAGCATTCGGTCGACTGATAGGAAATTCCGACGTTCTATCCCCAGCGTTCCGTATTTGAATATATTCATAAAGATCAAGATGATTTTCATTCCCAGACTCACTGATGGTCATAAGCGTGGGCGATTATAGCACAATGACTAAACAGCTGCGATCCCAGCTGCGAGCGGCTTCAATAGGTTTTGTGAAACGAGTCGCTGTTCCTCGACAGAGGCCGGAGTTCAGTTCTCCAAGGAAGCGTTGATGCACTTGCCGGTGCTACTCCAGGTTGAGAAGTCACTGAGGTTTGGGTTAACGCTTTCAGAAAGAGAAGCAAAACTGTCACTGGCAGCCGAAGACCTCAGGGCGGGTAAGAATAAATGCGGCAAGTGCCTCTACGGACTCTGCTTCAAACTTTAGCCTTCATCTGCTGAAGCTTTGATACTGGCACGGGATTGGGAACTCTGGACTGACTGTTTGATTCCACTGACCTCGCTTCGAGGCAGACTAAGCGGCCATCGATATTGATTGTCTGAAATGTAAATGTCTTCCCGCTTACGAGAATAAATAATCAAGAAAGTGTAGAATTCACGGAACTTAAGTTTCTTGTACCTCTGCTACGCGGCTGTGGGTGATAGTGACAATAATAAATCACTGAAAGTATCATCTCATATTTAATATCATTTTCAGAACGATGAGTGGGTTTGCATTGCATAGTTGCAAAATATTGTGCTTTGATTTTGTCATACTACCGCAGATGACCAGTCGCCGAAAGACCGTCCTTAAATCAGCTTTACTGGAAGCAGACAAAATTGAAATTAAAAATGATAGCAAGCTGCAATGAAACCTATTTTTATCAGCCACCCATCGGCAGTGACATTCAAGAAAACATTTTGTACAGAGGCTTCCGTACAACCATGATTTGAACAATGCAAAATGGTCTAAATTGAGAAATTTCGTCCAGATAGAATGTCTTTATCTAATTAATTTTATTTCTCGTAAGGCCATATTAAGCTATAATTTATAAGCTTTAATTTATAATATATACTTATAATTATATTAGAACCTGTCAATTACTCGATGGCCCCATTTGTCTAAGTAATTCCTAATTGACAAATTCGCTATTTTCGGAACTGCACAGGACGCACGATACAAAAATTTATATTTCCCTGTCGTCGTTTCTGACGATGATTTTGTCAAACGTACGATCGTCATTCTTAATTTTGACCAGCTGGTCGATTCACTAAATTCATTGAAATTTTCCTATAGATGCTGAAAAAGAAGCTGAACACTCCTGGTTCAGCAGAGCAGAAATCTCAAGCAGCGGAAGGCGCTTTGAAAAAGA